ATGACGGGGACGCTCAAGTGTGACTTCTCACAGATTAGTTTTCTCAACTAAAAATGAGTCACTGAGCACCTCTGTGGGAGGTGTGCTAGGGAGCAGAGCAGGGATATAAAGGTGTCCAAAGAACTGAGCCCAGGAGTCTCCACGACAGGAATCCCAGCACAGGACGATGCTCTGGGGTTGGAAGGGACGATTGATGAAGAAGAGAAAGATTCGGCATCCTCCATGTAGGCTGAACATAGATAGCTACCTAGAGCTGAATGCTGTTCAGTGCTGCTGCAGTAAGAGGGGACACAGGATGGCACACTGCTGCAGCCCTCCCCCACAGGCCACACACATGTCCTTGGCCACAGATGTGAGGTGCGGCTGCCCTGGATAGTCAGTGCCACATCTATTTGCTGAGGGAGGTTCTTGTACACCCCACAGCATGTCCACAGAGAGGGGGTGGGCAGGAGCCACTCTGGTAATCCTTGCAACAATCAGCTGGCAGAGGCAGGGGAGAGGAAGGGAGTGAGGTCAGCACGGACTAGAGAGAAGGGAGACTTCCTGCTTTCTTCGCCAGGTGCGGGCCTTCTATGATTTTCCTTTGAGAATGTCCTCAGGTCCCAGGCACCCCTCCCTGCTCATGCCATGCCCTTTCCTGTCATTTACAAGGTCCTCTCAGAATACAGTCACATTCACACAAACACTCACACTGGATCAGCTGCACTGGAGAGGTGGTAGGGGAGGAAGAAACAGGCTGGAGGCATTTCTGTGGTGGAGCATGCGTGCCCAGTGTCCTACCAACAACCCTGGGGTTTCCGTGGGGGAAAAGATTTACCATTGGTAGAGCAAAATACCTGACACTACAACGTAGAGGCGGTTCTCGGTGTTACAGGATTCAGCCTGCACAGGTGGCTGGCTCCAGACAGCAAAGGCATGGTGGAATAAGGTTGTCCCCCAGTGGCAGTCAGGAAGGAGTGAGAGAAAACAGGAACTGGGAACAAAAATACAGCTTTCCAGATCGACCCCCCGGTGACCCACCTCTAACAATATGTTTAGCTATCTCATCAATGGGAAAAAATCACTATGACCCTAGCGTCCCTTGGTTCAATAGCCTCCCCAAAACTTCACTTTTTGAATACTTGAGGCTTTTGGGGAACATTTTAGATCTGAATCCCAGCATCCCTCCCTTGACTTCAAAAGGCTCGTCTTCATCTAATTATGTAAAATGCATTTAATCCATTGCTAAGAATTGCTAAATGTCTTAATGTTGCAACATTGCTAAAAATTCAAAGTTTGATGTTTCCTTTAAGAGCAAGCTCATATCTGTGAACCCTGGTAAGAGTTTAAGGACAGTTACATGCTTCCAGTACACAGTGACATACAGTGAACACTTCCATTCCATAAAGGATAAATAGAGGGATAGAAAAGAATTGGACCAAAGTAGGCCTCAAATCCAGTGGAGCAGTCATTAAATCCTGTGGCTCCATGTCCAGCTCCAAGAGCATGTGGTGGTGAGATGTGAGTTACAAAGGGTCCAGGAAGCCTGAGGCCTGTGGCCTTACTGGTTGCAGCCCACGTGACTTCTTTCTTGTGTTCTGCTCGTTGCCTGTGGTTTTCCCCAGAAGACACTCCACATTTCTGTTTTCTCTAACTTCCTAGGGTGTCCACTTTTAACCTTATTCTCACAGTTTTATATATTGCCCTTAGGGGCAGACTGCTGGGATATATTATATCCCAATTCTTCCTTTGAAATCAGAGTGGAAGTGTCCATGACCCCCCAACTCTTGCATTCTTCATGCCTGAAAAACTAACAGTATGTGGATGAAACCAAGGTCTCCCTCCAATTTGAGCAACAGCTAGGTCCCCTTGGTCCGTGGCTGAGGGGCCTCTGAGTGCCTGGGTTGCTGAACTTGGGGAAACACATTTTTACCTTGAGTGAGCAGACTATCCCTGTGTTCTTTTAAAACAACATCTTTCAAAAAACTTTGCCCCTGTGTCTACGATGGGTGGGTCTGGCTAATGCCAAGTTACCTGCAAAATGTCTTTCTTATTGTGCTAAAGCAAAGCACTTGGCTCGTTTTAATGGCATCAATCTTTTCAGCATCCACACTGTCCTTGACCCAGCTTTACACATGCTTTCTTACTGAACAAACTGCACACTTTTCAAATCTTTCGGCTCTACTCTTTGCTCTTGATTCTCATTGTTAATCTGGCTGAAAGCAGCAAACACCACCCATGCCATAGCCTTGATATTGGGCTCCCTTGAAATTTTCTCTGCCAGATTAATTAGTCTACCACTTTTAAATTCAGCCTCACACAAAATCTCAGGCACACACAAAATGCACACAAATTCTTTGCCATGGTTTAACACACATGACCTCTTTTGAAATTTCCTATAGAGTCCTCCTTCCTATCTGCAACCTTATGAGTCTAGCCTTTACTGTCCACATTCCTATGAAAATTGTGGTCTTCTGAGCTCTCACTTGAATCTCCCATCAATCTGATCAAAACATGCTATGGCTGCTCTACCTAGCATTTCCAAACCTTCCCAAACTCTTTTCATGAACCCATTCCAAATGCTTATGAAACATCCAATATAGTCACTGCAACAATTGCTACTACTGGTACCAGTCTTCTGTGCTGGAACAAAGTACCTGACACCTCCAATTTAAAGGAGAAGTTGTTTATTTTGACTCACAGTTTCACAGTGTCCCATTCATGGATGGTTATTTTACTCCAAGCCAAAAACGGCAGGGCAGAAGAGTTGGTGGAGGAAAACTGTTCAACCCATTGCTGCCCGGAATCAGTGAGAGAAATTCAGGGTCGACATTACACCCTTCTAGGTCACACCCTCAGTGGCTCACATTGGCTCATCTCCTCACACACATTAAGCTATGGACCCATCGATGGATTAATCCACGGATGAGAATGGCACCCCCATGATCCAATCACCTTCCAAAATTCCCATGTGAGACTTTGGGGGGACATTTCAGAGTAAACCAGGCTAATGAAGTGAGTGCCCAAGATTTCCATGTTTTGCCTCACTGGAGACTTCATTAAAGTACTCTCAAGGAAAGGGGTTCTGGCCCCACTGATTTGGTAACCTGGAGGTGGTAACCTTTTAGTGTGGAGAGGCCATCACTTTTTGGAAACCTGAAATTGTTGCACTTTAAACTGAAGTTCTTAAACCAGGTGACCCAGGACAAAGTTCTCTCAGGTTCTGCAAAGTTGCTTGTGTTCTTCTCTGACAAATGACCACAGCATACCAAGGTCTTCAGAAAATGCTTTTTCCTCCCTGGAGGTAGCCATGTGTGAGAGCCACGTGGGAGCTTAGGGAACTGAAGACTTCAGTCATGCAGTGTGTGACAAAGCGGTGGACCACTCCTCTAGGAGAAGACTGATATGTCTGTGTTGGCCCCTGGGACTTTTCAGGTCTGGCTCCTCCTCTGCTCCTGGGATTTTGATTGATGTTGCCCTGGTGTTGCACTGCAGGCACAGGCCACTGTGGGGCAGTAGTTAACACTGTGCTCTATGGAGTATGTCCACCTGTGTGAACATACCATCATTAGGGAGCAGGAACCAAAAAGATTCTTAGCAAACCTCTGGCAGACCCAACTCTCCTAAGACAGGACCCCATGGTCTCCATTAGACTGTAGACTTCTCTCTCAGAGAAAGCTTCTTCTGTAAGGGCTCCAAGTGGCACCCTGATACCAGAGTTCAACTGCCCAGTGCACAGGTGGAGGCCTCCAAGCTCCCTGAGCAACACTCAGAAGAGGGAGCCCAGTGGTCAGGGTACAGCTTCTCCCCAGCTGCTGCTGGGCTGTGGTGGGACTGACTGTCCCCCTTACTGTCCTCTTACTGCCTCTTACTGTCCCCCCAGACTCCTCTCATCCCAGACTCTGAAGGCTCCCTTCCTGCTCACCCATGGGGAGCAGGCAGCCAGTGCCACCCACGCCCTCACCCTCCCTGCCCACGTCTGTTCAGGAAGGGATGGTAAGAATACTCTGCCACCTGGAGCCATGCTGGTCTCCCCCAAAGAAGGCTTCGGTCTCGGTCTGCCTAGAGCACGGGGATCCAATTCGAAGACAGAAATGACCAAAGGTGAGATGGACTCTGCCAGGCCTCACCCACCTCTCCCCGCTGTTCCTTCTGGGCCAGTCTGAGGGAGTACCCACCCACGGGTCAGGGGAAAGGACACAGACCATTGCTTCTTTCTCCCAGACCAGGTTCTGAAGGTGGTCATGCCTGAGCGGGACACTTCCCTTTCCATTACAAGGGGTGCCAATCCCACCCTGCTGGCCTCACACCCTGGCCTGCTGCCTCTTTTTCTCTTCGTAGCACCAGATGTGTCCCGCTAATGCTTCTCTGAGTGTCCCAGGGAGTGAGCCAGTTCCCTGGTTGGATCCACTCTATCCAATGCCAAGCTTGTCACTGAGGCAGCTGGCGGGCAGGCATGGAGCACAGAAATCCAGCCAGGTCTTCATGGGGAAAGGTGGGGAGACGACACAGGAGCCAGAGCGCTGGAAAGGAAGATAGCCACGCAGCACAGGGGGACCCGGGCCTGGGTACCCCTCTGGCGTCTTGTGGGGATGTATAGTGGGGCTGGGTGCTGTGCTTAGCCTGGGACCATGGGAAGCTGTAGGGCCTCCCCCACTGGTGGAGATGGGAGCTGAGTGTGGGGGACCTGTCAGAGCTTGGGCTGGTCCAGTCCCTGGGATAGAGCACCAGGAGCCCCTGTCGTTCTCCTGCTTCCTGTTTGGGAGCCGCTGTCCTTCCCATTCTGATAACATTCTCTCTGGGATAAGGTTTCCCTGGAGGAAGTCAAAGAGCTCTCAGGAAGCTGATTACGCCACTCACCATCCATCCATTCACCTCCATCCAAATGCAACAGTGCGCTCAGCTCTGTGGTGAAGGTTAGGGAGACTGTGCGGGTCAGGGGGTGGGGTCCAGCCCTGTGGGCCTCCAGCATGGGGATAAAGAGCAAGGGGAGACCAGGAGTGCAGAGCGACATGGGGACCATGCAGCTGCTCCTGCTCACTGCAGGGCTGGGCCTGCTGTCCGTGATGCAAGCTGAGAGCCCCCCTCTGACCCCTGCTCTTGCTAATGAGGTGACTGGCCTGGGGGAGGGAGTTGGGCAGGGGCTCAGGTTTCTGGGGTCAGGTGCCTCGATGGCTGAGAACTTTGGGACCACTGATTGGAGCCACGAGTAGGTGTCACTGGGGTGCCTGTGCCATGACCTTGTGTTTGTGATGCAGAGGTGCATCCAGAAGTCTCCAAAGACAGCACACTATCCTGCTGTGCCCTAGCAAGGCACAGAGAGAGCCGGTTCCTCCAGCAACAAATCCCACTCCTGGGCCACTCATCCTGACCCTAGGGCCTCCCCTTGGAAGCCCCAAGTCGTCCTCTGCCTTTTCTGGGGGTGACCAGTTGCTGGACATACTCTTGGTCACATGGACTTGGGGACCCTGGATCTCCTCTCTGTCCTTCCATCCCAAACCCCTAGTCTGGATCCTCCTTATTCCCCTCACCCAGGGTCTGTGGCCAGATATCCCAGGAGTCACGTTCAAGGGTCCTGTGACCTGCAGAGGTTGCAGGCACAGAGCCAGCTCTCACTGCTGTTACTTGCAGGAGAACGCTGGTGAGTCCAGTGGTTAGAGCCCTGGGCATCTGAAAGAGGAGGAGGCAGGGACTGGGCTCCAGGGCTGGCAGCGGCCAGCAGCAGTGATTAATTTGACCAGAATCCTGCGCCAGCTCTGTCTTTTCTACCTGCTATCACTGTCCTGTCCTTTCGTCTCTTGCACCTCAACACAAAGGTTCTACCCCATCCAGCCTTTTGGTGACTTCCCAGCTCCCTCTTGGTGGCCACTGCAGAGTCCCTAACCAGAGCCCATCCAAGAGATTAGCTTCCCAGGAGGGTCTCTATCCCTGCCACCTGGGCTGACCCGCTGCTGATGGAGAGGGGCCTTGCTGTGACCAGGTCCCTGGTGATCTGCTCCCCAGCCTGCTCTGGGGCCCTAAGCCAAGCCCTCTCCTGCCTCTGCCTCCACTTTGGCCTGGGTCCCCTTTACTTGGTTCCCTCTATCCCTGCAGCTCTGCTCAAGGGTGGCTTTCCTCTTCTAGCTTCTTGGGCACTGGTTTATAATCGGCTGGGCAGGAAACATGCCCATTCCCGCAAAGAAGAAGGCCAGCCCGCTGCCGCCCTTCTGGTTCGCCAGGAACAACCTGAATAAGCTGGAGTTCAGGATGAACATCAAGTGAGTGTGCGGCCCGCAGGAGCCCTGCTCTGTGGCTGGCTGTGTGATCCCCACCTGACCCGCGTCTTCCACACAGTCCCTGAGCTTAGCCTGTTACCCTGCCTGGAATATGCCGCGCTCTCTTTGTCTCAGCAACGTTCTGGGTCATGATGCTCTTGCTGACCAGGAGCTCAGCACAGGGGCCCTGAGGTGCCCTTGGCCAGATTCCGTGACCGAGCTTTCCAGCCCAGCGCTACTTGCTCCTGGAGAAGCCTTGAGAGGGTGCCAGGCTTGTTTCCATGCTGAGAGAGCCTTAGGGTCCTTTAGGATTTTGCTGTGAATTTCAGAGTCTGTAAGAAGCCCGGGCTGGGGTGTAGGCAGATCCAGGACTTTGAGATGCATTAGGAGAAACACCCGGAGATGCAGGGCAGGACCTGGCCTCCTTCGTATGGGCTGGTGCCAATCTGCTCTGAATTCATGGTGTGGACCATTGTCATCAGCTCTGCACCTGCCTGGCTTCTCCCCTGCTGGGGTCACTGAGAGCCCAGGGGACAAATGAGGGGGCCCATGACAAGCCATCTCCTTGGGGCTGTGGTCAGCTGTTGTAAAGCCATACTAAGCAGGAGTTCCTGGTCATGTCCACCAGCCTAGCATAGGAGCATTCACAAAGCTTCAGGGACACCGACCTGGGCTCCTTGAGGTCAAGCTTGAGCCTATAAGGCATCAGGTCAGAATAGTCACAGCTGCTGAAAGGGCCTCACGTGCCCAGAGTAGAGACACTCTGGTCCCATTTCAGGTCTCTTTTGGCAGCCCGGATTGGTTTGAGGGCACAAACTTGGGCACATTGTTGAAGAATACTGGCTGATTTCCAGTAGCATACATTGGGAAAGAGTTGGGGACTGAGCTGACAACTGGGGGTCCCCGTGGGTGTCACGAGGAAAGGCTTGGGCAGGTGTCTGGGCCAAGAACCATGCTCAGATTCTGTGTTCCAGGAAGCCCATTGGATGTGTTCAGTTCAAGCTGCCCCTAGATGAAGTCAGCGGAACCCCTGGACACTACCAGGCCTGTAAGTGGCCAGTTACACTCTCGTTCTCCAGTAGATCCTACAGAGAGTGACCTGATGGCCACAGCACATGTCATCCACAGGGTCAGGACATTTGGTGATCATCAGTTTCCTGCCAAAGAGAAAGAGCCATGCCATTGCCTACTACGAGGGCAAGGTGGTGCAGACCAGATACAAGATGTCAATGCTGATGGGTGCGTTCGAGGAGCTGGCTGGGGACCCCACAGGGTGCTCTGGGCTTCTGGTGGGCAAGGGGTTCGTCAGCTCTCCACCTCTCTCACCCTCAGCTCTCCAGTTGTCAAGCCCAATCCTGGGGCTCTGTCTTCTCACAGGGCACCCAACCCAACCCTCTCTCTCCTCTTCCCGTGGCTCAGCCTCTCTCTTTCCTCCCCACTTAGCGGCGTGGTCATACTCTGACCAGGGCACTTGCTGGGGCCTCTCGGCTCCAGGGACACTGGGCAGAGTTTGGAGAAGTGTGTTATTGTCATGCGGGCATGGGTGGTGTCTCTGCCTCTGGCGGGTGGAGGCCTGAGTGTCACCCAGTCCTGCAGGTCACGTCGCCCTGAGAAGGTACCCTGCTCAAAGGTGGGCTGAGATCAGATGGGGACTTTGACTCCACGGCCAGCACCGTTCCCCCAGGTCCTCAGACTCCCAGCTCTTTCTTAAGGCTTTTAGCGTGGAGTTCTTAACATTTGTGCTCCCAGGAGCTCCCTGGGCGCTGTTCTCTTGGCTGTCTGCTCCCTCTGGCCCAGCACTCTCTGCCTGTTCTCCCCGCCTCTGCTTGCTGCCCCCTTCTGGCCATCCCTGACTGCAGCCCTCAAGGAAGCTCAAGGCCCACAGAGCCTACAACTCCTGCTGGAGGGCTTGGAATACAATGGGAAGGCGAGCTGAGAAAGGCCCACTACTGTCGATGGACCCCGTTTTATAGTGTGATCATGGACTTCAGGGGCCCTAGGTGCTGCCCTGTCTTTCTCAGGTTTCCCCACGTCACATCTTCCATCCTTCCTGGCTTAGTCACTTTATTATCTCTGGGACACAACTCCTGAGGCTCATAAATTAAAGGAATAGAGGTGGCCTTGGCTGACAGCTGGCAGAAGTTTCAGCTGTAGCTGGTTGGCTCCAGGGCATGCGGAGGAGGGTGTGGCAGACAGGAAGCAGAGAGTCAGAGGGAGGAGGTGAGACTGACCCTTCCGGGCAATGCCCCAGTGACCACCTCCTGTGACCGAGCTTCACCTCCCAACCCCACATTTAGGTAGACACTCCCCACAGACTAACCCAGGATGTCCTAGGATCATCACCTCCCCAAGGACCCTCTTATGTTAGCACCCCTCTATTCCAAATTCCCTGAGTTCCGGCTCTCCTTTGGGCCACTTTAATTCCAGCGTAGGAAAGCCTCCCCTGCATATAATGCCCATATGGCCATGGCCAGCCTTCAGCAGGATCTGGACGTGAAGAGCGTGCTGCCTCTGAGGACTGGCCCAGGGTCAGATTTTCAGATCGGGTCCCCGCAGGGAGAGGCTGAGGCCAGAGAGGGCTACACGGGGCCCTGAAGGAATGGAGGGTTCACAGCAGGACATTTTCTCTGCAGAACAAGCTTTCTTCGCAGAGCAAGGGAAAGGTTTTATGAGTCAGGCTGGATGGTGAAACCCTGCTCTGGGGGTGCTGTGGGCTGACCACTAACCTTCCTGTCCTCTGCTTCCTGCCCAGCCATTGGATCAGGCTTATCCATCACAGAGGAGCTGGACCTGGAGGGGCCGGGTTCTCCAAGCCCATGATTCACCCATGCAGGAAACCCAGCACCTCTTCTGTGTTCTGAGCAGGGGTGGGTGGGGCCTCAGAGCCACCCATGGAGTTGTTGGTTTCCCAGGAGGCCCATCCACCCTGCATGAAGGTGCCTACCCGGTCCACCATCTCAGAGAGTTTGGGCTTGGCATGGGGGCTGTGGTTCATCTCTGGGTGCCCTGGGACATCAGGCTTGAATCTTCCCTATGTCACGAGGCCGCTGGGGAGCTCAAGACACCAGCCTGGAGGGATGGCCCTCCTAAACTCCTCCTCACCCCCACACTGACTGGGGGCCCTGTCTTTGCACCCCCACCTTCAGGCCGCACCCTGGATGAAGACCTAGAGGCTAAGCAGATCTTTGAGGACCTTATGGATGAGAAAGAGCTGAACGGAACTGTCATCTTCCCAGCCGTTGCTGGTAACAACATTTCCCTTCCTTTCCCCTCCTTTGGTCTGTAACTTCCGCTCATCTGGCTGTGCATCCTTAGGGTTTCTTTCCTCATGGGAAGTGGCGACCTCACAGCACCCCTTGTCTCTCTCTGGGCCTGCAGAAACCTGTGTGCTGGCCAAACAGTCCTAGGGCCCCAGAAACCACCAGAGATGAAGAGCTGGGATCACGCTGCCCCCTGCTGGCTGCAGGCAAAACTTCCCGGAGCTGGAGGAACCTTTCAATAAAACTTTCATTCTCTTCACAATAAAGCAATATATATGTCCTCTTGCTACAAGTGTCGCACGGGTCTCATGTGACAGCTTTAATCATGTGTGGGAGGACACTTGTGTATGATCACGATGATTAGGAAGGGAGGGATTTGCATCACAGGTCTCACAGGACAGCAGCGGGCAAGCAGGGAAGGGAAGAGAGGCCCTTGGTGAGGGGGCGTGTGACAGGAGGACAGGGAACACCAAGGCAGGGTCAGTTAGCACGGGTGCTTCCAGAGCCCTGGGCTCGGGCTGGGCCCAAGTGGTCTGTCACCAGGACCTGGATCCTGCGTGGTCCACATGTGGGAGCCCACAGAGGAGGGCAGGGTCGGCTCTTGGCATATGGAAGATGAGGTTTCCCGGGGAGGCCTTTACTATCTCTAGGAATTAGGCAACCTGGGAGGGCCAGGCCCTCCCGGAGTAGAGAGGCCCAGACGTTAGGGTGAATGGAGAAAATAGAAGAACATAAAATTCACATTGCCAAGTCCAGACGCTAAGGAGAGAAATCGATCCACCTCTCTGGAGCAGAAGTCCCAGTGCCTACATAGATTATACCTTTCCTCTGGCCCCAGTTACTCACATGCAAAGTACACTCAGCCTTCCCAGGGCTACTCCCTCCCGCCTCACGGAACCAGGAGGCCCTGGCTGACTGACTTGGGGTCAGTGTGCGGACCATGTTTCTGGGGTGCAGACTCAGCCGGCCAGAGACTTATGCAGTGGAGAGGCAGCTTATTTCCCTCCCAGAGGCCCTTGGCGGTGGGGGACACCAGCAAGGCAGCCGTAGTAAATGTGCTCACTTTAGGGGAAAGAGTGAAGGACCCCAAGGGGGCCAGGCACCCTCCAAGATAAGCACCTGCATGGGGCAGGCTGGGAGATGGGGCCCTACTCTTGAGGGACAGGGTGGAGGGGCACAGATCCGTGATGTTCACTGTGCTGTTCCTTCCAGGTGTCCCCCACGAAGGGACAGGGGCAGGTGTCCCTGAAGTAGGCCACACCTGTCTGGGTGGGAGGGGCGATGGGAAGATTCCCCGTGAAGCCTCAGGAAGACAGAGCCACCTACACGCTGTCAGCTTCGCAGGAGACTCCGCACCCAGTGAGACTCAGATACTCCCCTTTTGTGCACTGACACTAGGCAGAGCAGTAAAGTTTGAGGTCCTCCCAGCCATGTGATCCTGGGGTGGACGCCAGGCCTGGTGCCTGGTCATTGCTGGGCAACGGCATCTCCTGGAAGGAGTCTCTGGGCTCTGCCCCACTGACTGACTCAGAACGTTAAAGTGAGCAGGTGTGTAGTTGGGAGGGCATTCAGAGAAGATTGCACTGGAAGGTTCTGGAAGAAGGAGCTTGGCACCATTACTGGGCTCACCTCGGCCTGGACACAGGGACGGGAATGCTGGGGAGGAACGGGATTTTCCAGGGAAACAAGCACGGAGGGCAAGCTTCCTGGGTGTGGAGACCCACAGGCGTCCCCATGATCAGACATCTTTCCTGGTGTCCTATGTCTTACATAAATTGTGTGTTGATGACACAATCCAACACAGTGGTCCCTGGACTGCTACGTGAGAGGCAGGACCTAAGATGCAGTCCCAACAGGGAGAGCAGCCTGCCAAGCAAGGCCCCAGGGAGCGGCTTGCACCTGGGAACAGGGTAGTAGGAACTTAGGGGGCAGTGGTTGGATAGCATGTAAGGTATGGGTGAATTGGGCTTTGTGGGCTGCCCGTTGGTTGGCTAATTTGAATTATTTTAGGGCCAAGGAACTTCTGGGCATAGACACCTTTTTCAGTTGCTAGGTGGTACCTGACCATGGGCTCATGACCATGGCCCCAGACTGTGGACACAGACAGGGGCAGCAGTGGATGCTGGACTGATTGGTGGCCCAGGGCAGGGATTGGGTAGCTCCCTGCCAGGCCCTCGAGCCTCAGTGAAGGCATCACGTCAGGGCTCCTGTTCTGTTCTGTTCTGTTCTGTTCTGTTCTGTTCTGTTCTGACTGGGCTCTGCCTTCTGTATCTCACAAATGGATTTTGGTTCTGGTGAAGTTTCTGAGGCTCTGCCTTACAACAGGTCCCTGATCCCCATGCCTGGAGCCGAATCCCACCAGCTGGGCTCTGAGGTCAGCTTCAGAAGGACAGTGACAATGTGCCCACCAAGTGCCCAGGTTTCTGTATGCTCTTCAGACATCACAAAGATCCCATAAAGCCACTGGGGCTCAAGAGGTGTCCTAATCCCCATGCGGACTCCTAGGGGAAGACAGCATGGGCAGAGTCCAGGCCATGGCCACAGCTTAGGTAACTGTGCCATCTGGGTGGGACAGCGGACATCACTGAGCGCAGAGGGCAGGGCAAGCAGGGGCTCACCCCCAAAGAGAGGGATGCTGAGACAGCTCAAAGGTCAGAGCTTCCTGACCTTTGGGGGAGCAGGACGTAGGCCCTTGGAAGATGCCGGCCAGAGATGGCCCCCTTAGCCACATCTGAGATGCAGCACCTGGCACAAGGGTGATTTGGGAAGAGGAGGTGTCTCTCAGAAGATGAGGCGAAGAAAGAGAAGCAAGCATGTGCTTCCAATGTGAAAATGAAAGAACAGAGGGGACCCACCCGGCTCCAACACTGCCATTCATTCAAACGTCTCAGCTCAAAGACTGGATTCCTTTAAGAGTGACAGCTCTGGGGACTCCTGTAACAGCCTCGGCTTCACAGACCACTTGGAACTGTAGGGCACCTCTTCCTGTGATGGTAAACATCCTGCAGCTGCAGGAGCACCTCACTGTACCCCTCTTTACAGTACCATTGACTTTGAGACCCTACTCACATGTATTATAAATATCAAAATGGAAGGCTATCATGTCTGCTTTAGGTAGATTGTGTATTTTGGTCTGACCATTATGCTTATATCTAGATATCCTGAGTAATCAGTTATGGATTAATAGCTTCCTCCTTGAGACACAAACAGACCCAGACAAAAATATTTACCCAATCTTCCATACCCCTTGAGCATACATACATATGTACTCAAAAGACCTTCCTTAATATAACTCTCTGGTTATTTGTACAATGCATACATGAGCACACAAATCCAAGAAGTGTTTTAATAAACACAAATTCAAACACATGTACTTCTCCTGAAGCATCAAATATCTACACAATTAACCAGCACATTACGAATTTGCAAATATTATGGTTTGTGTTTAGATGTCCCCGACCCCCACAATTTCATGCGGTCATATATCATAGGCAGGGCTTCTCAGAGCTGGTTGGGTCCAGAGTGTGTGATGCTGGGATCAAGGGTGTGTGATTAACAAGTTGGCCCATTGATTGGTTTGGCATCGTTCTAGGCGTGGATGATGGGAAGGCCCGCCCTGGGTGTGAGTGCTACGCACAGCAAGTGTCTCCAGATATTCACTACTTATGCTTCCTGTGTGGACAAAACCACTGTCTTCACTATTTTCTCATTATTGAGACAGATACTCCACACCCACTGAAAGGGAAAAATGCTACAGGAGTTCTCACCTTTTTAAAACTTTGTTCTTTTGAAACTGCCTAGCTCTGTAACTGCTTCATGGCTTTGCAATTATTTTCTTGACTCCTGTAACCACGAAAACGTACTCAAACACGCAGGACATCTGATTGTAAAAAGCTCTACGACCATTAATCTGACCTCATAACTGATGGCCGCACCCTGTTAGCTAATCAGCAGGAATCCCAGGCTCTTCTGTCTCTCCTCATTCTCCCTGCATGTGCATCCCCTAAACACCCTAGACCATCAGAGATCCCACTCAGTGCCTGTCGACATAAAATAAATCTGCCTCCAAATCTTGGGTGTCATTTTGGTGTTTCTGTGTGCTGTAGCACCACAAGTTAAGGGAGGAGAGATTTATTCTGGTTCAGGTTTATAGAGTCTTCAGTGTGTAGTCCATAGTTTCCAAGGCTGGATGGCGTGGCAGAGGAGAAACAGTCTCTGGCATGGCAGGCAGGGAGCCACAGCCATCAAGGGAGGAAGGATGTCTTTGTACACCCATCTAGCACAAACCCACAGTGACCTACCACCTCCCACCTGGCTTCCCCTCGCAACACTACG